CAAACTAGGGAATAAAAGTGAACCTGATAGTATACCTTAGCTCTGATTACCACTTAATGTGAATGGGGATCCTGATCTTCCATCAGGTGGTGGTAACTATTGTTGTGACGGAGAATGACACACCGATCCGGCTTCAGATCGAAAGATCGAACCCTGCAATCTTAGCACCACAGCTCCTCTGGTTATCAACCAAGTCACGGACCAGGTTGACCTTGCCAAGAAGGCTAATCCTACTGCGCAACAAAGAACACAAGCAAGAACAAGAAAGAATGCAACCAAATTGCAGATGAATGATTATCTCACGAAGTTGGGGTCTCACAAACCGATGAACGGCGAAACTGTTCTTCATAGAATAATCTAAGCAAAACCCAAAACCTAACGACGGCGGCGGCGTATGATTATAAAGGTCTTAGGGTCCTCGCCTACCCTAGACGCGTCCCCTAATGGGCCCAAACACGATACACGATCCAATGGACCAAAAGACGGTGTCGCAGCACCCTGACAGATTCTGGACGCTGACTTGTTTCGACGATTCCCGTTGATTCCGAAGAGCTTTTGACATGAGACCACTTGGGTTGGCTTTCTTATCAAATTAGCTTTCCATCCATATATGGATCGTCGAAAACGGAGTTAGGATGCGTCCTGGGTGACCAGTTTAAGGCAGACTGGTCCTGGAGGCCAAGGCAGACTCGAACTTGAGTTGCTTTGGGCCTCCACCTCGGGGACTCGAACCGAATTAGCCTCAGGCCTCCTTCTTGACTTGGACACCCTTCCTGGCCTCCTTCCCCTCCATCCCATGCGCCAAACATGGTCATATGCATGGGTGTCATGTCCTCATCAGTAAGGATCCCCCCACATGCCTCTGGGAATCGATAGTGTTGTAGGCGCCGGCATTTACCATACCAGGCGAACATGGTAAAACCCCTTGCATGCCTCCAGATATCAACAGTGTGGGAGGCGCCGACATCTGCCATACCCGAAGAAGACAACACAACCTCCCACGTGCATCTGACATCCAACAGTGTTGTGGGCGCTTACCATCATCTTGTACCCACCGGCGTGGGAAGCAAGACTTAGTAGCAAACATATTCCTTCCCTCTCACTTGTAATGCCATCTCCTTCATCTATAAAAGGGGATGCGCTCTCTTCCAACAGACATATTCATTTAGATCGATCAAGTTCACTACTACACAACAGTAGAACCACAATGTTTAAACCACGAGCACGCGCTCGAACACTTAGCTCATAGCGGGGCTCCCGTCACTCTCGGCCCTTCCGATCGGAGTTCGACCGGACCTCTTGTACCCCCCATCTTTCTCCTTCTCGTTTGTAACCCCACTGCAAACTTCGAGCACCTAGGCTCAGGAATAAAGTCACCGACCGACTCAAACTAGACGTAGGGCACGTTGCCTGAACCAGTATAAACCCTATCTCATTGAGTGCTAGTCCACCTCCGATCACAATGTACGGCAAAACTATAAATATTTATGTGTTGGTCACTTTCTGCACCGACAGCTAGCTTGTGTCGGTCTAGTGTGGTTAGTGAAGTTCTTTAGTTAGTCTTTGAGAGCTCACTAACTTAGTACAGTGACATAGCCTTTATGTGCTTAGAGACTATAGAAACTAGAATTGTGGTAAGTGGCTTGCATTTTTAGTAGGCTAGCGCAACATTCACTTCGCCTCATAATTGTCTAACCGTTTTGCTTAGTGTTGTTGTAGAAATTTTTATAGGCTATTCACCCGCCTCTAACCGTTAGGATCTTTCATATTCTATGATGTATTTCATGATGTTCACGTAGTATAAATGTGATGTTCTATGATTATCTTTGTGTATTCACGCAGTACACATGTGATATTCTATAGTGTATTTGTTGGTTATTCAAATAATATCCATGTAATGTTCTTTTTAATTTTCCTCTTTATATATTTATTGTTTTCCTTTATGCTTTGTTTATCTTCTATGTTTTATTTATTATGTTATTTATTTATATAATTCTATATATTTCATAGGTTTTGTTGTTCTCCTTTTCTTTTCACAAATATTATAATACCAATTGCCTAAACCTATAATTTATTCTCTTAGATCTAGAATACTGTTTTGCTAACCTAAGAACATTTTTTTATGAAGACGGAACAATGTTTTCTAGATCTAGAACATCGTCTATGCTCAATAAAAGAAAATGTTCTATCTTCATGAGATAAATATTCGTTAATAAAAATTTATCTAAATATATCTATGTGAGGTTTTATTTTGAAGAATTTTTTACCAGAAACATAATGGTGCAATCAGAATATAATTTGAATGCTCGTTTTAATAGCCAACTTTTTTTTAGCTTGTAGAAAACTATGACGTCACACCATGCAACCTCTCCTGTGGTTATCAGGCGGATGGAAAGCTGGCAGTTTGCTCCGCGTTGCCAGCGTCTGAAAAAAACTGACGGCGCGTGGTTAGTGTCCGAACAATTGGACCATAACACTTCCCTAAGACATGGCTGAGGTCCATTCATGGCTGAGGTCCATTCTCGTGAAGCCAGAGCTGCTAAGTCACTAGTGGCCAGCTCGGTAATGATGATAGTTGACGGGCGGGCTCCGTCACCTGTTGTTGGTCAGATGTTGTGTATGGTGTAGGTGTGTAGATATGGACAGGATTTGTATGGTTTTTGGTCTAGTTATACTTATAAACTTGGCTAATCCTCTTCTTCTTGTTAATATAAGCTAGAATCAAAGGTACCAGATCTTCGAAAAAAAGTGTTGTATCCAGTTGCGAAGTGAATGCAGCTCAACCGTTTAGGTTCTTTGTAGTGAATTTTTTTTCATCTGGGTCCAAATCCTTGACTTGACATGTGTGCTCATATTTCTCCTAGATTTATTCTAGGATTAAGTAGTTCTATTCTTTCAATGGTATAGACGATGTGCCTGTCAATAGCGAGACGCTAGTGGTGACTTCGTTAGTCACGAGATCTGTTGGTCCAATCTTTCAAAAGGCATTCATAAAGGTAGGCTATGTGCACATGCATTCGTAGTGGTGAATGTGTGTGCGTGTATGTGAACATCTACGTCTATAATTGTATCAAATTTACATGGCATCATGATGTGCACACGTCTATGCAGCACGTGTAGCAAGTTGTTGTGGCCCGATCTTCTCGTAGGATCTGCAAACTTGATAAATTGTCGTTGCGCGACCTGGTGAAGAGGCAATGCACCGCGAGGCTGTCCACGCGACGAACTACCGAGACAATCACCCTTCCACGTACCGACGAACAGCCCACGCAATCACGCCGTATAGACGTGAAGGCACAAACTGGGTGAACCGCAGTTCGGCGTTCTACAACTCCCTCAGGAATCGAAAGAACAAGTTTGCAAGCCTCTCAAGACTCACGCTGGAACAAGAATTCCAAGAGTTGGTATTTCTGAAATTGCAATCACGAGTTCCTGTTCACGTCATCCATTACAGGGATATATAGCACTAGTGGAGTTTCAGTTTGGTGGAAAATAATTGAGAACATGTAGTGGGAAGTTGCAGCACTACTTTTATTAATAACCAAGCCTAGTAGGGCGCCTAGCTGGTTGGTATTCTGTGCATGTATGCTGGAGCGTGTGTGGACAGCAACCCAGTTGCTGGTTGCATGCATTCCTAACTCCCAAATTATTTGCTTGCACTTCAACGGCTGATATTCATGGTAGCTGAATGGCCTTTCCTCTCTCATGCACGTCCAGGTTCCATGCATATATTTGGCGGGCAAAATCCATCATCATCCCATGCTTGTTCGTGCACTCCATCATTCCTAAGAACATTGAAACAAGTACTCAAAAGCATAGGTTCATTCAATGTAATCTGATTATTAAGCATAAGGTTAGCGTTCAGCTGAGAATGAATTTCTTTCTTCAATTATTTAGCTCTACTCCTTGTAATTGGACCAGCTATATCAAGTGTAGCTTCATTTGGAGATGAGTGAATGCTAGGAATGTCTTCATTACATCATTTGTTATAGCATGTTGTATCATTCATTGGGAATAGCCTCAAAGCCATTAGAAGACAAGAATGACCAGGGCCGAATATGTTGTGCTGCCTCTATCTAAAATCTTGGAGAACAAACATTTTATATTCGTAGCAATCCTCTTCAATCCGTATATATCAGAAGAGATTGTGATAGAAAATTAATTCATTTTTCGCTCTAATTAACATAGATCGGAAGAGACTGAGTTTATCAAAAAAAAAATACCGTAAAGAGAGGTGTTTTTACTATGTCTTTGGTGATACTTCTCGAGGTTCAATATCTTATGACTTATGTCCCAACCAGTTATGATATCAGAATTAATAATAGATTCTCGAGTACGATACAAGATCGTTGTTGGAAACCTTTTTCGACCAAATAAACCCTAGCCATATGTTTGGTTCAAATTGGTTCGGCTGAGATGGGTTGAGTGGAATCCATTTTTATGGGTATTTGGTTCGGGCTTTACTAATTGGCGGCCGAGGTTTGAGTCATTCCATAGAGAATATTCCTCAGAGATACGGTTTGAGTTTGTCCCTCTAATTCAAGCAAAGACAGAGGTAACCACTTCTCCCCAAGCCAAATTGATGTAGCTGGTGGTGGCAGTGCAGGAGTGAGGATACGGAGATGGAGGGGGCATAGGCGAGCTCTATGTTCATATGTCCGGATACATTGTTAACCAGTGCATATCTGCAGATGTCCAGATACATTGTTAACCAGTGTATATCTGCATATGTTCATATGTGATATGTCCAGCTTATTACTGGACGGACATGAGACATCGTCATGTAGAATCTTCAGCTGGATTGGATCAGACCTGACGACGACAACAAGAAACCTACGACGACACCGCGGCCGGCCGATGCGTGTCGAGAGGTCATTCTCGAACACATACTCCTAGATCTCATCGAAATGCGCGTATATAAATAGACGGCCCTTGGATTGCTACAGGTCACAATCACACAATCATAAGTACGAACTTCGTTGTGAGCAGTAGGCACGAAGATGGTAAGCTCATCACTTGATTCTGTGCCGGCCAGATCGAGGCCGACGGCGACAATTCAGGAGCACTTCCTGTTTGTGACCGATCCGATGCAGAGCCACATCGACCCGGCGCGGCGGCTGGCGGTGCGCGTCGCGGCGGCGATGCCCAACGCGCGCGTCACCTTCTCCACCGCCGTCAGCGGCCACCGCCACATGTTCCCACACCTGACGTCCCCCGACGGCGAGGTCGTCCAGGGCGTCGTCTCGTTCATCCCCTACTCGGACGGCTTCGACAGCGGGTTCAACCCTGACAAGCACGGCCACGGCGTCAGCGCGTACAGGGAGCGCGCGCGCGAAGTCGGGTCCGAGACGCTCGCCTCCATCGTCGCCCGCCTCGCCAGGTGGGGGCACCCCGTGACGCGCGTCGTGTACACCGCGCTCGTCGGGTGGGTCCCCGCGGTCGTGCGCGCGCACGGCGTCCCCGCGGCTCTGTACTGGGTCAAGCCGGCCACGGTGTTCGCCGTGTACTACCACTACTTCCACGGCCACGGCGCGCTCCTGGACTCCTCCTGCGCGAGCGACGTCGCGGACCCTCACGCCGCCGTCCGCCTGCCGGGCCTCCCGCCGCTTAAGGCCGACGCGATCCCGTCCTTCGCGTCCATGGCCTCGCCGGGGAGCCGCAACTACCTGACGCTCGACATGCTGCGCGACATCTTCCTGGCGCTGGACGAGCACAGGCCCACGGCGGTGCTCGTGGACACGTTCGACGAGCTGGAGCCCGAGGCGCTGCGCGCGGTGCCGGGGTTCAACCTCGTCGCCGTGGGCCCGGTGGTGGTGGACGAACCGTGCAGGCCATGCGTGGAGCTGTTCCAGCCCAACGACGCCACCGCGTACATGGACTGGCTGGACACGAAGCCGGCGCGCTCCGTGGTGTTCGTGTCCTTCGGCAGCATCCTCTCGTTGAGCAAGCGGCAGGACGAGGAGTTGAGGCGTGGCCTGGAGGCCACCGGCCGGGCGTACCTCCTGGTGGCGCGCAAGGGCAACACCGGTGGTGGTGGGAGTGATAGCGGGCAGGGGAAGGGGATGGTGGTGGAGTGGTGCAACCAGACGAAGGTCCTGTCGCACGGCGCCGTCGGGTGCTCCGTCACGCACTGCCGGTGGGACTCGACGCTGGAGAGCATCACGGGCGGCGTGCCGATGGTGGCCGTGCCGAGGTGGGCGGACCAGCCCACCGTGGCAGCACTAGTGGAGGCGTCTGCGGGCGTGGGCGTGCGTGCGTGGGTGGACGGCGACGGGGTGGTGGGGCGTGGTGAGCTCCAGCGGTGCGTCGAGATGGTCATGGGAAACACGGACAGTGCTTCGGCAGTGAGGGCGCGAGCAGAGTGCTGGGGCCAACGCGCCAAAGAGGCGGCCGCCGTCGGGGGGACGTCGCATAGGAATCTCCGAGCGTTTGCGTCCGGGCTGTGACTTGTGAGCGACGCACCGATGCGTCACGCATATATGGTCAAAATAAACACGGATTTTACCATGAGCATTCACGTTAATAATGTTGTTGACAACAAATGAGCCCTTACTGCTCATTGACGTAGCAATCGACACTGGACAGCAACTTCGTCGTCTTTGTTTCTTGCGGTTATTAATTCAACAAATTCGTGGACTAGAATAAAACATAACTAGCAAGGTGCCCCACGTAAATAACACGATAGCTATTTATTATTACCAAATAGTATACCCACTCGTTATAGATATATATAGGTCATGTGTAGATACATAGTAAGTAAATATCAGTAACTATGTATCTCAAGAAAGCCAAAACAACATATAATTAGCAACGAAGGGAGTATGTGTGAAAATAATTAGAACAACTTAGCTAACTTGCATTGGCTGGTATTTATGTTCATTATATGATAGAAATCCTAATAGGACTCTGTCTACTTGAATTACAATACTAGGTCTAATCTTTACCTAATACTAAAGAGGCAAAAAAAAATTTGGCTTTTTTCTTTCGTCCAGTCTTCCCAACACCGGCTCGGTCAAGGTTAAGTTAACATTACATTGCCGAGATTAGGAGTGGGAAAGAGAATGGAAAGAAATATTGGGTTCCAGATGTAAAGATGCCAGAGAGAAAGAAAAGGTGAAAAGGCTTTACTAATTTTTGAAATAGATCGAGATTCCTGATGCAAAACGTCCAAATCCGAGTGAGCCTCTTCTAGTGGGCTTCTTTTTCAACCTAGGTTGAATCCTTACACTTGGGCCGGCTTCGTTGTGTTTCTTTCGTTTTTCTCTTTTTCTATAAAAAACAAAGATTGCAAAATTCACCAAAAATCATAGAAAAATAAAAAAAAATGTCAAACCAGTTTTGTCAGCTTCATAAAAATATGATTTATCCATAGATATTATAAATCTTGTTAGGTTGTGCTTTATCTATAGGCGTGTTAAATCATTTGCATGCATAAAGGTTCGGTGATTACCGAGAACGTGCCAGAGGTAGACCCGGAATACGCGGAGGTGGCCGAGGAGTATGAGGAGGATGTCCTCGTCGTCAGTGTTCCCGAAGCTTTCACTAACTTTTCGATCTCCGGTTCCTACCCAAGGTAAGCCCCGTTGCATAAACCCTACTTTTCTGCAATTATATATAGGTTCGGCGATGACCGAGAACGTGCTAGAGGCAGACCCAGAATACGCGGAGGTGGCTGAGGAGTACGAGGAGGATGTCCTTGTCGTCGGCGTTCCCGAAGCCTTCACTAACTTTTCGATGGTTGATTCCTACCCAAGACATGCCCCGGTGTATAATCTCTACTTTTCAGCAATTATTATGTTTGTTTGCGCATTAAGTTTTGAGGAGAAAGATTTACACCATCTGAAATAGTTTTGATTAGAAACAAAACTTATTTTTATTAAAATATGGATTAGTCAATGGTACAACTAATTATTTTGTGAACCAAAATCTTGGACAAATTATTGTCTAATGAAATCTAAACAAATGTATTTATGTAATTCCTGACGAGAGCTGCCATGTGAAAAATGAAGAGAGGTCTCCCATCATAATCATTTTTGGACAGACCAATCATTTACACATTGACAAAAAAGTTAAGGAGGTTGATATGCTGTGTCAAAAAAGCTACAAAGTTCTATATTGAGTCATAGAAACACATGGGTAGTATGAAAAATTAAAGTTATGATATATTTATATCTTAATAATTATGCACTTTATAATGGAAGAAAAAATATACCAAGGTATATTTTAATTCGATATAGCTTTAATAGGACATTGTTATTTATTGTCAGCATTAACTTATGTTATGGATGCGACGGTCATCGCAAAATAAATTATACAAGCATAAAACATAAATAGAAATGTACCATTCACGTTATTATTTTGCATGAATGTTTAATAGTTTTTTTCTTCCGTTGCAACGCATGGGCATATTTGCTAGTCCTGTTATAACTCTGAGATTCTATCTCTATCTCTGACCCTATATATTTATACCTCTATTAACATTCCCTCTTAGTAGTAGTGGGAGGAAAACGGATGGCTATGATTGGATTTGAAGTCCTATGCTGATTTGAAGTCTTGTGCTTCTGCCATCTTCTCCACTTCATTCAATGAACATTTCAATATAGTTTTCAAGTTCAAATTTTAAAGTCAAATTCAAATTTGGAAGACAAAAAGGAATCAACAGTTAAACTTATGCTCCACAAGTAAGAAAGAAATTGCTATGTTCACCGGGTTAGGCTCCTCAGTTACAGTGTATTCCTTATATTGCTTAATTGGGTATTTTCTTCTAGTAGCATAAGACAAATCCACGAGAACATCTAACTGAACAACGCATGAATCTGTTATGCAAATTCAATTGCCAAAAAATGGAGGTACAACGAAAATATGGAATCCACCAATATCAATGTCATTTCGCTAATGGAGTATGGAGCACCCATTGTATTCGTATATCTTGCTACAACATGAGTAATGTTCTCATAACATCTCTATTCGCTAGGACTGGGAAGATAACCACCCCAAATCCTTACTATAAACATTCCTAGACCAATTTTCCTCATCCAAATAACTTATGGCTTAGTTCAAATTTAAGTCAAGTCTCCGAAATGTCTAAGACATTATTCCCAATTCCATTTTGATGCCTTTCCGGCTTTGATTATGTGGTGGGACCAATTCTTGTTTCGGCGATTGTTTACCTGGCGCAAACGTTGCTCAGCATAGCCATCCGGTTCGACTTTCTGTTTTTCATTTTTTTTCCTCCACAACAATGCTGTTAACTTGATTTGGAACGAAGAGTTTTCATTTTTTTAGGTGATAAGTTTTGTTTCGCATAATGTTATACACAAAAGTTATGAGTATAACTTTGCAACTTTCTAAAAAATTGTGCTGATAAGTTGTTTCCACGAAATGTTATACACCAAAGTTACGAGTACAAAACTTATATGTAAAAGTTATGTCATTCGTAAAATTATTATAAAAAATTGTGCAAGAAAATTTATGCTGAAAATTATTATCATAAAATAATATAGAAAAGTTTCCATGCTAAGTTGTCTATAAAATTACATAAAATTTGTATAAAAAAAGTTATGATAAAAAATTATGCTAACAAGTTATGCTCTGCAAAATGTGTTGACAAAGTTGTGAATATAGTTAAACCCAGTCAAATATTATGCATAAAAAATATGTACATAACTTAGTAACTTTTCAAAATAGAAAGTTGCGGAAATAATTTTGTTCTAGAAAAGGAAAGTTGCGGGACTAGCTCATCGTTCGCTGGAATTGAATCCAGTAAACATTCACTGATTAATCTTCGCTCTTCCAAACACAACATAAGAGGTATACATTTTTTTTGCGAGGAAAGAGGTATACATGAACTAGAACAAAAACCTAGATGTTGCAATTTTAATTCTACAACAGATTACTTTCGAGAGAGTAGGACAAAAATACACTGGTCATCATACAACTTTGCCCTCAATGCAACACAATTTGCTGCATCTCCTCCCTGTAGAACAGAAACTACGAGCTGTTACCAATTATGCTCACAGCCTCACACTAGGTATCGCTCATAATAGTCCATGTAAAAGTCTCCTAATTTCAACAGACTGCATTAACGTTATCCTGGTCAACCTCACAACAGATCTGTCCAATTGAAGTTACAAATCGGAACAGGTTCAAGAATCAAGCTTACTCCTTATGGTCTCTGCCCTTCTTTTTCTTCCATTTGAGATATATTTGGATAGAGAGGCCTAAGAAGACCATCACAACACTACCCCATTGCTTCAAAGATAATGGATTGCCACTGATGATGGATGAAACCACAATGCTCATGAATTTACGGGTGGTAGTGATTGTTGTGTTAGTAAGAGAGCCAAACCGGCTGATGGTTAAAAAGATGAAGTTCTGCCCCATGGCGCCACATAGGCAGAACAAGAAAATGTCCCAAGCCACCTCTGGGTTCTCCTGGCAAAATCTCAATGCCTCAAACCCATTTGCATATGGCCAGTTACTGAATAGTAACGGCGCAACAAACATAATTACAGCATTATATATGGTCCCCCAGAGGTTCATGCCAAGCATTATATCCCATGGGTTTGTCTTTGGGTACCTACAACAAACATTTCTTTTATTTAGAATAATTATCACATGTTTCATGATAGCTTGGTATGAAATAGAGAGGATATAATTACCTTGACTTTATTAAATCTTGGGTCGAGTTAGTATACCCATCAAAAGCTAAGTTGAGGAAGCACAATGTATAGCCAAGAGGTGCATTAGGGTTGGCAAGCTTCTTAATTGTCTTGGAGCTTGTCTGATAAGTAGCAGAAAACAGATTTTAGAAGTTCAAGATTTTAGAAGTTCAGCACTTGCACAGAGCAGTATAGTTAAAACGCTACAGGTTTAATAAAAGTAATAGTGATCTAATTGAAATAATGGTATGGCACAAATTTAGATAGTTTTCCTTCAGGTGGTGCCATAACCAAACACCACAGAGTTCTTGATCTAACGATTTGATCAGCCTTGCAAGTCTTATTCCATAAAGTTAAAGGACACCGAATAAACAAAATATGGAGAAAATATTTTCTATGTTTAATTCTGGAATGAAAATTTACCCCCAAATTTTTCATCTTTAAAATAAAATGTCAGTATAAATTTCATCTTTGGACTTATTCCAGTATCATCAAGATATGAAAAGGTGCAAACTAGATGAGTTAGAAGGCTATCAGATGCACCAGAAAAACATTAGCTCATTAGTACGGCAGTTGATGAATCAACAAATTGAAGACCATCTTACCTTCAGCAACGCAAAGGATGACACACCGCCAGCAACAAGAAAGGTGCAAAAATACTCTGGAAGTGTGTACTTCACACCATAGAGAAGAGTTCCCATCAACATTACTGTATAAATTGAATTGCTAGTCAGAGGAGAATCATCAAATATGCAGCATGCAATGTTGAGGAAGAATACATTTCTTTCAGGAAAAAAATTCTTAGATACATACAAACAATTACTAATCCAACTCATAGAATAGTTTCATTAATGTACTTAACAGCCTGGCTTATCAGCCATGGTACAGTATTTTTCTCTCATAACAAATCAGCGAACAGTACTTTTCAGCCTGACTTTTCAGCGAAGCGAACAGGGCCGGTAAGCAATGCACATAAGATCCAACAACTCATAGTATATTGGCGACTTAAACAGTTAAATCATGTAGGCAAATAAGATAGAATGCCCATGAGTTTAGTTGTCAAAGGAGGTTTACCTTAATTAGTATTCACCCTGTGATGATTTTGTAAACGAAAAGAAGGTAAGCCACAAACATATTCATTTTCTTAGAACCGTATGGGCTTAGATGTCAGGGGCAATATAATACCTTATGATCCCTAATAAAACACATTAAGCCAACATGGATATCAATAAAAATATCCCCACCCTTGTTCCTGCTAATGCAAAATTATGCTCGTACTATTGTTGAGCAGGGTATGCCTCAACTCAAAAGAAAAAGGCATTATCTTTCGTTGCCCTTTCATTCTGCTCTCTGAAGTTTTCTTTACTCAGCGAAATAAATTAAATTGGACTGTCCAAGAAGAAAAGAACAAGTGACCCTGAGATGCAATGTGCACTGCCAATACTTTTATGTAGGTATACACACACATTGGGCAGTGTGTATAAGTAAACGTAGACTTACCGGGAATCATCTTAGAAGATTTTGCCAACACCTGTTCACACCAACAGTAAATCAGTCAGGATTCATATTCGTTTACTGGAGATCGTTATACAACCACATGAAAAGAAACTAATTGTGATTCCTCTTTCCAAGTATTGCTCTAGCTAAATTAGAAAAGCTGATTCCACACAAGGGGACACATTAAAGAACTTGGTATTCAGAAAGGAAATATAGCTTTATCCCTTTGTTTCCAGTAAATCTGAGGACACATAATATCAAACAATGACCGCAATGTGGTTCAAAGCCCTGCTACATTGAGCAAGCATGATTGGAAGCCTATACTTGTAATTCTACTGACATAACAGAACATTCAGTCATCTAAATATTAATAGAATATATGAGTTGCATACTTAGTACAAGAACATCATACAAATAGTTCATATGCCATCATGAACACACGTCCTTCAATATTAGGATGTTCAGAGGATCTTAAAGAGTCATCTAACTTGATTTGTGGGCAAGTTCACATGAACAAAGGAGTTTGTCATTCTTGTCGAATGATGACAAAATCAAATCAGGTTGAACTGAAACTCCCAACTTGGCAACCTGCACTACAATATCAAATGCAGAACCACATGTGCCGAACCCATGGCTCAACAAAAATCATACCAACTGCCACTACGCCAGCATTTACATTTCCATCTTCCAAGCAATGCATTGTTCTTCCTAAATGTTCACTTAAGGCAGCACTTCCACAGAGCTCCCTATAGTCAATTAAGAACATCTCAATCCATAAGCGTCAGGAACTATATTACCGGAACCTATTATTAACATACCACAATGTCCGGGACAGTGCATAAAACAACCAAGGAAGGTAAGACATAAGTAGGTGGAACCGTACCTGAGCCGGATAGCTGATGTACTTGAGCGCCTCGATCCCCATGGTCGGCCCGATGGTATTGGTGACGCTGACGCCCCAGTACTTCCATAGCGGCGCGCGGCCATCAGAGCTACTCCCGCCCGACCATAGCTTAATCACTTGAAAAGCAAGACAAAGTCAGAACTCGTATGCGATAGCCACCCACACAGTGGCACAGCGACGGAATCGATCACCACGAGTTCACGACGCTGCGCGGAATGCAATTAGGCAACCACGCGGAGCGAGAGGAAAGGAAGAGGGCGCTCACTTATGAAGGACCAGACGAAGCAGACGACGTTCTGCGCGAAGTTGAGGAACGCGAGGTGCTCGAACCTCCGCGCCTCCGGCCCGAACCGCTTCGTGGATCTGAACCACCGGCGAGCAAACTCATCAAATTGATCCCAGCTTCTCTAATTGTGTGTCGGAGTTCGGACAGCATTAGAGAGAGAGAGAGAGAGAGAGGGCTTACAGAGTCTCCTGGAGGACGCCCTGGTAGATGTAGGCGGACCAGATCCCGGTGACACAGAAGGCGAGGACGGCCACGCGCCCCGCCATGCTTCCGCCGCCGCCGCCGCCGACGCCGCGGTCGCGGGGGCGGGGACGGACGACGCCGTTGGCACCATCGCCGCCGCCCCGGCGCGCGGCGGCCATGGTATCGATTCGCCGGCCGGCGACGGCGAGGGATCAGCAGAATCGGCACTGGTGGGGGTTCGATGCGCGGTGGACCGGTGCTCGCCGAGTGGAAGCGGGAGCGCGTGTTATAGGAGGAGCCCAACGCCACCGTGGGGAAGGAGGGAAGGGGCGAGAGGTGACGTGGCGTAGACCGATTGGACGGAGCATGCCAGGACAGACGCCCGATTGGCTGGATGGCGTGGAAGGGTACGGCCTGAGCGTGCGTCTGCGGTCAGATCTTGGGCTATTTGACTGTGGGTTGGGCCGGAAACGATGGTTCTGGGCTTTTTTTTAATGCCTCAACAATCCAAGTAAAAGTTACAGTATCTGAACTCACGCACCAAGTCACACCACCACACACACTCACACCACCACACACGCATATATATGCAGTGTGCAAGGTAAACCTACACACATACGAAGAGGTTACACATGACTGAGAGGTATCCGAAGTCATCCAGGCTTCGCACATGATGGGCACGTCACCTTGATCATTGTGGCGCATCCACGTGTGAGGCTGCTGAAAAGCCAAGACATAGCATGGGCAGTGCTGGGCAAAAACCCCGGTGAGACACCAACGTCGAACCCATGGTTCGAACGCTGGCGGGTAGCAAGCCAACCACCGGCTTCTGTCATCTGCGCTACGTGCAGATCTCAAGGCTCTGGGCTTCTGGCACTACAGAAAACAGAGAGAGAGTTCAAATAAACCTGATCGATGAAAGTTCCTGGCGCCTTGAGCCCTTGACATATATATTGGAAGAAAAATAGAAAAAGTCTACGTAACCCCCTGACCTTTGGCACTATGTCTACTTTGTCCCCTGAACTATAAAACCAGGTATCAAACACCCTAAACTTTCCTAAACCAGGTATTAAACCCCTTCTAGTGGTTTTGGCTCCTGGTTTTGCCAACGTGGCAGTCCAAGCTGGCTCACATTGACACATTAGCACTTGGGCCCACACGTCATTGAAAGGCAAATGCAGATTGAGACGCTTGAGATGCGGACAAGGAGCGTAGGGAGCTCGTGGCCGTCTCAGCCCCGCCCAAGGCTCTCCGTGGGTGCCGTGGTGCTCGCGGACAAGGAGCGCAGGGAGCTCGTGATCGTCTCGGCCCCGCCCAAGGCTGCGGAGGAGCATGTTGCGCTGCTAGGCACGAGACTCGTGTGCCCAGGCAGTACCACGGTGTTGGCGCTTGAGGCCATGGGTGGTGGCGCGCGAGGCCAGCGTTGACGCTCCACGTCGCGGCCCCGCCGCAGGGGAAGGAGACGAGCATGTCCCACCATAGCCGCGAGGGGTTAAAAGCTCTAGTTTGGTTTTGGTAAATTGATAAAACCCTTAGTGCTAACATAGTTTATCAAAGTGGTCATGAGATAGGTAGCACTATTTCAAGTGATGGAGCAATGGTGAAAATCATGTTGATGGTGGTGTGACCATGATTATCAAGTGCTCGGCTTGGAAAAGAAGAAAGAGAAAAACAAAAAGTTCAAGGCAAAGGTGAAAATTGATAGGAGCTTTTTTGGTTTAGTGGTCAAGACACTTAGTGAGTGTGATCACATTTAGGATCGATAGCCATACTATTAAGAGGGGTGAAACTTGTATCGAAATGCGGTTATCAAAGTGTCATTAGATGCTCTAACTCATTGCATATGCATTTAGATCTAGTGGAGTGCTAACACCCTTAAAAATTGTAAGGAAAATGGACACTAGGCCTATTTACTTTGGATTTTGGTGTTTGATGACCAACACAACCAAATTGGACTAATGAATTTGTAAGTAATTATTTTGTTGTTCAATAGGGTGCAAGACGTGACTTGAACGAAGGCGACATGATGATCCCACGATCAACACCATAAGCAAGACCCTAGAAGCACAAGAGAAGACCTAAGATATCAAGCAAAGTCCAAGCACGAAGATATGAACCAAGCCGGACGTAAGATCGTGAAGAAACGAGCTTCACAGAGGTGACCGGACATGGCCCTAATAGCGACCGGACGCATCTGATCAAGATACTCGGTAACGGCGACGTCAGCAACAGCGACCGGACGCTGAGGACTCAAGTGACCGGACGCGATGATGACACTGTTCACTATCGCGACAATAGCTCAGCACTGACCGAACGCTGGAGGGTGATCGACTGAACACAGGAATTGTAGCGTCCGATTGAGTCTAGAGAGGTTCCAAAGCGGCGCCAGCGTGACCAGACGCGTCCGATTGACAGTGACCGGACTCGGCCCAGAGTCCGATCAACACACATGCCCCAACGGTTAGGACAACCGGACACGTCCGGTCAGGATGACAGCAGCGTCCGGTCAGTAGCAGAAAAGTGGGTTTTGTCCCCAACGGCTACTTTCTCAGTGGGGCTTATAAATAGACCCCCTAACCGGCCATTTGAGATGTGTGGAGCTGAGGAAACATACTAAGGGTGTTAATACACCATTTTAGTGATCTCCACTTGCATAGTGCTTAGTGATTCATTAGGTGATTAGCATAGGTGCTTTGCAAAGTGCTTAGGTTGATTAAACCACCGCTTATGTGATTGCTCTAGGTTTAGGCCTAGTGTTTAGTGAGGTTTGCATACCTCTTACCACTCAGTGCTTGCGCACACCGTTGTTGTACATTGGATGGGCTTGTAGTCTTGCGAGATCACACCAACCGTGTTTGTGGTGTGGGCGCCACCGTGTACCGAAGGGAACAAGGCCCGCGGCGTTTTGGCCGGAAGCTTGATAGTGAAGACGGCGGGGAGCGATCCAGGAGAGGCTTGCCAGAAGGCACACCGGAGACCCACTTTTGCATGGGGAAGGCCCGGGGCTATCCACGGAGTTACCCGACTGGGAGCTTGGCCCTTGCAAGGGATTCCTTGCAAAGGTTTCCAACGAGGACTAGGGGGAAGCTTATGCGCTTCTTGATACCTCGGTAAAAATATCAGAGTCGTCGACGAGAGTTTGAATATCTCTACCTTACTCTTTAGCTTCCGCATTTACATTGTTTGCATAACTCCTTTTATGGTAGAGATAGCAACACACTAGCAAAGTCGTAGTTGCATATTTAGATAATTCATCTTTTGCATAGGTTTTGCTAAGAATAGAAAAAGAGGCCATAGTTTAGAGTTAGAGTTTTAAGTTGCCTAATTCACCCTCCTCTTAGGTGTCACGGTCCCCTTTCAATTAGTATTAGAGCCCGGTTGGCTCAATTTGAACCTTTGGCTTCATCGTCGTTGAGCCGACGCCATTTAGAGTGGTTGGGATGAATACCTCTAGGCCTCTACACTTTGACGGCACTAACTTTCCCTACTATAAAGCTAGAATGGCTTGTCACCTTGAGGCAGTAGATTTGGGTGTTTGGAGAGTCACTCGTGATGGGATAAAACCCATTAAGAATCCCAATAAACCCACAAAGAGTGAAGAAAAAGAAATTTATTTCAATGCTAGAGCTAAAAATTGCTTGTTTGAATCTTTTAGCATGGATGTGTTTAACCAAGTGTTCACTTTAAATACGGCACATGAAATTTGGTTAAAACTCCAAAGCTCTATGACAGCGCAACTAATGTCCGTGAGCAAAAACATTATCTAGCTAAATAAAATTATGATTCCTTTAAAATAAATGATGATGAGCTTGCTCGTAATATGTATTCTCGTTTGAATCTAATTATCAATGAGCTCCATTCAATAGGATTAACAAAGCTAGATGATACGGACATTGTGAGGAAGATCATCTCCGTGCTACCACAAAAGAAATATGCAAGTATCATCACCATCCTTCATAATATGGAGGACTTGAGCACCATGACCCCGGCCATAGTCATTGGCAAGATAGTGGCATTTAAAATGTCACGCAAGATGGGTCAAGAAGAAGCCTCTTCATCAAGCAAAGGAAAAGCTCTCACATGTAGTGAGAAAAAGAAGATGAAGGGCAAGCAAGTTGAGACAAGCTCAAGCTCAAGCTCCTCAAGTGAAGATGAAGAAGAAGATGAGGATGATGATGATGATGAAGATTCAAGTGATGATGATCAATCTTCCTCCTCCACCTCCAACCTTGATGAAGAATCAATCAAACTTATCAACAAGCTGGAGAAGATGATCCAAAGGCTCAATGTCAAGGGTGTTCCCATCCAAATTCAAGATTTCATCTTCACCAATCAAAGAAATAAGCAAAGAAAGAAAGTATGCTATGGATGCGGCGAGTTGGGGCACTTTGTGGAAGCTTATCCAAACAAGCCCATACCCAAGACAAAGAAGAAGATGTTCAAGGACAAAGATCTCACATCAATAAGGTCATGGGATGATTCTTTAAGTGAAGAAGAAGACCATCACAAGAGGCGAGGGCACAAGCACTCATCATCAAGCACCTCACGTGTGTGCCTTATGGCACAAGGTAACAAAAAGTCTATCCCTAGTGATAGTGATGATGAGCTACCTTCTTATGATGAAATTGTGCAAGAAAATCTTAACTTTGCTAAAGTTTGCACTAGTCAACAAAAGAAGCTTGAAAAATTAAAAAAAAACTGGATAGCTCACAACAAGCTTATGCTACTTTGCTTGAATAATATAAAACTTTTGCCAATCTTAATATGGAGCTATCTACTAAAATTGAGCAACTTGAGACTAATGCAAACACAAATAACTGCACAATCAATGATGAGCAACTTGTAAAAAAATAAAAAATTAAAGAAAAAGTTAGCTAACTCACAAGATGCTTATAAAAGTTTGCTTGCTAAAATGGAAACTATGTGTAAACATTGTGATGAGCTAACTAATAAAGTTACTAATCTTAAAGTCGTCGGTTCTACCCCACCGAGGCACCTAAAAAGAAAAGTTCTATCTTTGACATGCCTAAAAAGGATGCCTCTACTTCTTGCAATGATTTATATTTAGACTCATCGTTGTGCAACCAAGTTTGTGTTGAGAAAATTATTGTAGATACATGCACACAAGAGGTCACAATGGAGAATGAGCAACTCAAGCAAGAAGTGGCTCGCCTTACCA